GTCCGGTTGACTTTTCCAAACTAATTCTTCCTTAAAGAGACTAATTGTCCCATTTCATACCAAACTCGATCCGAATTGACTCAAATTCACCAAGTACACATATTGAAACATGAATAAGCATTTAACGGGGAATACGAGACGAAAATACAGGAAACGACGGTTCGGGTCGTTACAAGTACTCATGTATGGAAGTTTTTCTTGAGGACTCATATATTTTATAATTGAAAGCAGTTCTGTTGTTGATTTGGAGTGTTGTGGCAGACCTATTTACAGCTATTTTTACCATTGTTGAACACATTTTTGTTGCCACTTCTAAATATTACAATAGACGCCTTTGCTGTTGTTTTGCGTTGTAGTTGAAGCCACTTTTTGCTGCTATTTTTGGATGCGATAAAAGTTATCCTGTTACTATTTTGGGATGCGGTTGAAGGCATTTTGGTGCTGTTTTTGGATGTTGCTAAAGCCATTTTTGCTGTTGTGATTAGGTAAGTTTACTTGATTACTATCTGTCTACAGTACTACCCTAGCTCTCATATTACTCAATTAACTCATTTTCCAAGTACCACATATTTTTTTTTCAAGTGTTAGATTTACTATCGTGTCTCCATAAGAACATAATAACTTAGTCTTTAATTTTAATCTTAGAACTGCATCAGGCCATTCCATCTTTTTAGAGGCAAAGATTGACTTATTAGTAATGGAGTAAGCATTCTTCATATGTATTTATTGAACATTTGAATTTATGGAATGACTTAAAGTTATCATTTAATTAATAGATAAAGCTGTACTTGTCACTTTGAAAGTTGTCTTGCAGCTGACTCCTTTGTTTGTTGATTTGTTTGGCTTTTTTGGTATTGTCAATATTGTTGTCCTCTTTAACTTTTGTTGATTAAAGTTCTCAGCTCATTACATGAAATTTCTTTTTCAAACAGGCACAATTACAACTATATGTGCAAAGATAGACAATATTTTAAAAGGTATGTAATTCACAGCTAAAATGTGCAAACATCTATTACACTTCCGTTTATCTGAATAGATAGTTGTTACTAAAGAAGTTTTTTTAAAGATATGTGGAAAGATTAACCCATACTGCCATTATCTCTTCTTTAAAGATGAGAGGGAAGCTTAATAACACATACTACGATTATCCTATATTTACATACCTATTATTACTACCAAACATGGGAACATATTACTCCACCAACATAGAAACTGAAATCCAGGACGATGAAGAGGGAATATCTGAAATATTGTAAAAATAATTCTCATGGTTGTTGTAATTGAACATTTGTGATTGAAACAATGTTGAAAATAAGGTATTGAAGGGCAACTGTGTTTGAAAGTTTTAAAAGGATTTATTGATTTTCACTGAAAATTTTAATAAGGGACTAGATTATGTCAGCTTTCGGTGTTGAAGTTTGTTGCATTTTTATATTGTCTTCCAAGTGTTTACATCTGGTAGAGAGACCATTTCCAGATTTTTAAAAAAAAAAAATCAATTGCATTGCTATTGCCCTTAAACATAATACATTATGCTATATGGGTACTGAAACATGATCTTTTTCCTGTGATTTTGCAGATGTCAATGCAAATACTTTTGTTGCACTGCAAAGGAGAAGAACAATTATAGTATGGAGAAAAAATCACCTTTTATGAATATACGTTGTACTTTCATGGATGTAAAAATTGAGATACTTTCGTAGTAAAATGCATCTCATTTTGTCAAATATGTAAATAAATATATGTATATATGTGTATTCTCATTGATATGAATATTGTGCTACTTTCCAATGATGCCTCAATTTCCTGTCTTTTTTTGCAGTTTCATATTAACATAAAATTAATCACAAATAATGGTTCCAAACTTCATAATATTGGGCCCGTGCTATGCACGGGCAATACCTATCTAGTATTTAAAATAGAAGCAAAGAGAATTGAATAGTCGTGGATTAATATTAACGGGAGTATATATGTTTAAAGGAAATATTCTTTTCTAGATTAATGATCTCTAAGTACCCGATGAATTAATATTACAGGAAAATTTTGTCTAATTAAATCATGAATTCTTTGGCTCAAATGACCAATATATTGATTAACGATTTATTTTTATTTTTGTTCTGAGTAAAATAGTTGTAGATCGGACATGAGGATTATATAGACCTCTTTTAATTTATTAACGATATTTATAGGTAGATACATGAAGGTGGCCGGAGACATAATCTGGAGTATATAGTCAAGAAATATAGCCATTCCCATTCTATTGAAAAAAGTACTCTTTATGATTTACTAATGCGTCTTCACAATTGGATCAAGATTTCAGAAATCTAAATGTATGACAACATCAATAGCATTTTAATGAGATAAAAGACCACCTCTATAATACTCACAAGGGAGTTCATTAAGCTTATTCTTCCATCTGTTCAAATTTTGATGGACACAATTATCCGATACTTTTATTGGTGGGAGTTAGTAAATACGGCGTGAAATTAACCGACGCATAAGGTGATCTAGAGACCACGATAATCATGCATTTGGAGTGCTTGTCCATGCTTAGCTAGTGCATTCACTACTTTGTTAGTTATCTAAGACAACGTTGAATTCAAGATCCTACTTGGTTGTGTGATGACCCAATAGGTCATCACTTGTTTTAAAAGTAAATTCTGTATTCCGAGGCCTTAAAAATCTCTTTCTGTCTCACCTCAATTTGCGTGCGCAGTCCGGGCGCGTAGCCGGAAAGCCATTATGTGAAAATCTGTGAAAAATGATGAATTTTGACTTTAAATGAATTAAGTTGACTTCGGTCAATATTTTTGGGTAAACGCACCCGGACCCATCCCGGAGTGTCCGTAGAAAAATATGGGACTTGGGCGTATGCCCGGAATCGAATTCCGAGGTCCCAAGCCCGAGAAATGAATTTTTAAAGAAAATTATTTATGAAATATTTATGAGTTTTTGAAAGAGAAATGTGTTTAAAGATTGATGGTATCGGGGCCGTATTTTGGTTCCGGAGCCCAGTACAGGTCTTATATGGGATTTAAGATAAGTCTGTGAATTTTGATAAGAAACGGACTTGAAATGACGTGAACGGGTCGTATTTGAGAAAAATTAGAAAATTGAAGTTCTTAAGAAATTTCATGATTTTGATGCTAAATTCATAGTTGTTGATGTTATTTTAGTGATTTAAATGCACGAACGAGTCCATATGATGTTTTTAGGTTAGTGTACATGATTTGGAGCCCCGAGGGCTCGGGTGAGTTTTGGATAGGCCACGAGGTGGATTTTGGACTTGAGAAATTGCATGCTTCAGCTGTTTCATTGCAGGCCTACAGGCTTCGCATTTGCGAAGTTTGGCTCGCAAATACGAAGGCTGAGTCGCAAATGCGAAACAACCCAGGTCCGCCCTTCCTCGCAAATGCGAGACTTTTCTTCGCAAATGCGATAGCTCCCCATTTGGGCTTGTCTTCGCAAATGCGATAGGATGTTCGCAAATCCGACTTTGCAAATGCGAGTTTAGCAGAGTCTGGGTTCGCAATTGTGAACCCTGGTCGCAATTGCGATACCTGCAACCTGTAAATTCATAACTTAGATGCATTTCAACCATTTTTCACACTCTTACCAAAACACTCTAGGGCGAATTTTCAAAGACAATTTCTTCTCCAAATCAACTGTAAGTGATTTCTAACTAGTTTTATTCAATCATTAACATCTTTTCACATAATTTCAACTCAAAATCAATGATTTTCATGGGGGGGAAATTGGGTGTTTTGGGTAGAACCTAGGTTTTTTAAAAAAAAATTGGAGATTTGGACCTCGATTTGGGGTCAAATTTCAAAACAAATTATATATTTGAGTTCATGGAGGAATGGGTGATCGGGTTTTGGTTCGAACCTCGGGTTTTGACTATGTGAGCTCGGGGGATTTTTGACTTTTTGGGTAAAACTTTAGAAAACTCATTTTCATGCATTAGAATTGATTCATTTAGCGTTTATTGATGTAATTAAGTAACTTGTGGCTAGATACGAGCGAATTGGTGGTGGAATCAAGGGGTAAAGCGATAGTTGAGGCTTGAATTGTGTTCATGACATCGAGGTAAGTGTTTGGTCTAACCTTAGCTTGAGAGATTAGGAGTCGTGTCTTATTTGCTACGTGTTAATTGTGGAGTCGACATATAGGCATGGTGACGAGTATCTATACGTCGGTATCAAGCATGCCCATGAGTCTTGTATTGTAATAGTTATGACTCCGTTGTGGTTTATTGCGCTTCACATGTTATTATCATTATTGTTCCCTTGCCAGGATGTTATTATCATTATCGTTCCCTTGTCGGGATGTTATTATCATTATTGTTCCCTTGCCGGGATGTTATTGTCATATTATTGTTCCCTTGGCGGGATGTTTGTTTGATATTATTGATCCCTTACTGGGACCCTTTGTTTTTGATTGGTGTTGATAAAAGAAATGGGAGCGAGTTGTACTCCTGCAACGAGATATATGAAATGGGAGCGGGTTGCACGCCTGCAACGAGATGTATGAAATGGGAGCGGGTTGCACGCCTGCAACGAGATACATAAAATGGGATCGGGTTGCACGTCTGCAACAAGATGTGAAATGAAAGTGAATTCTGCATTTGTTTTCTTTATCCTTGTTAGCAATTGTATTATGGTTTCCTTATATTCCTCTTAATATTCTGTTGTTATATGTTATTCCCCGAAGCATGTTTTCCCCCTCCCATCTTTAACTGTAATTATCTGCTTTTATTTTTCCGATGTATATGATTTAACTGCACATGTTTATTTGGTAGTCTGGTCCTAGCCTCGTCACTACTTTGTCGAGGTTAGGCTAGGCACTTATCAACACATGGGGTCGGTTGTGCTGATACTACACTCTGCACTCTTTTGTACAGATCCCAGTGTTGTAGGCTTCGGACCGCAGTGAGGTTGCTGCCTTCAGTCCAGCAGGTGACCCGAGGTAGTCCTGCAGGCGTCCGCGGGCCTTGGTGTCACCTCATATCTTTCCTTTATCCTATTTCCTTTACTTATTTCAGAAACAGTGTATCTTTTATCTTTCAGGCTTTGTATGTAGCATTCTTAGACCGTCTGTGAAACTGTAACACCAAATTTGGGTAGAGTTGTATTTAGACTTCCGCAGTTTGTATTAAGATAAATTATCAGATTTTGTCTTCCGCTTAATTATTTCCGCTATTTGCATGATATCTACTCATCACTGATAATGGTTTAAAACTGAAAAAGGTTAAGTAATTAGAAAAATTTGGCTTGCCTAGCTTTCACCAGTAGGCGTCATCACGACTCTCGAGGGTGGAAAATCTGGGTCGTGACAGGTTGAGTCAAGTATTATGTCTTTTAATTCAATAAAATGGCAAGCTTATTTTAAAGTAGCTAGTTGAATAATGTCGACATGCTTAATTCAAAAAATCGTACTGAAAAATATGATAAACATTGTTAATTATTTGGTATGGAAGAAAATATTTTCTAGAAGCATCAATTCAATGATCATCCTTTTGTTTTTGTCTCTCTGGTGGTATATTATGCATCTGTAGATCATAACTCCATTGACAAGTTGAAATTAGCAAGATTTAATTATATTCTTGTAACGACCCGACCGGTCGTTTTGAGCTCTAGCGCGTCGTTCAGCAGTTGGAAGTCATGAACAACTTCATTTCAGATATATTGACTTGTACGTATGGTCAGAGTTGAATTTCGGGAAATTCGGAGTCAAATTGGAAAGAAACTTTTCATTGCGGCAACCTTAAGTTGAAGAAAATGGCTAAGATTGGAATTTTGAGTAAACGACCTCGGAATTGGGATATGAAAGTTCCAGCATGTTCGTATGAAGATTTCGGACTTGGCGTATGTCCGGATTTGGTTTTGGATAACCCGTGAGCATTTCGGCGTATATTGTGGAAGTTAGTATTTTAGAAGAATTTCATAAATTTGGGTTGGAAGGCATTTCAGAGTTATAGATATCCGTTTGGGATTCCGAGTCTGGGAATAGCTCCGTATGGTGATTCTGGAGTTGGGAGCGTGATCAGAAGTGAATTTGGATGTCCGGAGGTCATTTTGAAGTCATTTGGCTAAATATAGAAATTTGAAGGTTTTTGAGAAAATTCGACCGGAAGTGGAAATTTTGATATCGGGGTCGGAATGCGATTCCGAAAGTTGGTGCAAGTCCGTAATGTCGAATGTGACTTGTGTGCAAAATTTGAAGTCATTCGGACTAGTTTTGGTAAGGTTTGAGACACTTAGTCTCTTTTAAGGAAGCTTAAGTTGGAAAAGTCAACCGGATATTGACTTATGTGTTAGAGGGCTCGAAATGCGAATTTTATGGTTCGGATAGCTTCGTTAGGTGATTTGGGACTTAGGAGTGTGTCCGGAATATTTTTGTGATGACCGGTGTAGAATTAAGCTTGAATTGGCGAAGTTAGTATTTTGGCGAATTCCGGTTGATAGGTGAGATTTTGATCCGAGGGTCGGAATGGAATTCCGAGAGTTGTTGTAGCTTCGTTATGTCATTTTGGACTTGTCTGCAAAATTTGAGGTCATTCAGACGTGGTTTGGTTGGGTTTTTGATCAAAAATGGAATTTGGAAGTTCTTGAGATTCATAGGCTTGAATCCGATAGT